AACGGGCTAGCGGTGGCCTCGCCTCGCGCGCGCGAGGTGGGCCGATCCGGCCCATTCTTGGACAAAAGCTGGGCTCGCGGGAGCGGCGTCGGGGCATGGTCATGGGCCTCGTCTCGCCCCCCGCGATGAAGCAGCATCAAGGAACGAACGAAACGAACGAGCGAGCGCTCTCGGTTCGCGTGCGCGGCTTGCGAAGGAAGGAAAGGGTCGGGGCGAAGGAAGCTGCAACGGTCGCCCGCCGCGTTACTGCGAGGGCAGCAGCGATTGGGTTCCTGAGACAAAAAAAAGCGAGGAGCTCGGGACCTGAGAGAGAGTGAGAAACAACCAGGGCAGAGGGGGCAGGGGGGCAGGAGCAGGAGGACCAGACAGGCTCCGCGTCTCCCGGCCCGCGAGCGCGCCGCCTTCCCAGTTCCCGCCGTGCCGCGAGCTTTCCCGCCTTCCGATTTCCGAGTGGGAGTGGGAGACTGGGAGGTGTTATAATTGGTCGGCGCGCGGTCGCGGGGGTCGTCTAATCCGGCCGCGCACGCAACCGGGACCGGGCGCGGTAGCCAGTAGGCGCCGTTCCGCCGCCGCCTCGTCCGGCGTTCCTCTCCGCCTACGCAGGCGTGGTCGGAGCCCGCGCGGCGCGCGCCACCATGGCAAGGTACTAGACGTCCTCCGCGTCTCTCTCTCTCGACATCTTCGTCGTTAGGGCTTTGCTTAGTTCGTGATTTCCTCGTGGGCATCAGGTTTGGTTGGGGGCGGGTTTAGTGCTGCGAGGGTTCCTTCTTTAGTTCTTCTACACCCCTCCCATCCGCAAGCGCGCGCGCCCGCCCTTTAGGATTGCGACTTCTCGGTCGCGTTGCCTGTCATTTGGATCGGACTGGATGATTTGCTAGCTCCTATGTCGGATTTGCCTTGGCCGGTGCTGTGGCTTGTGAGCGAAACCGGATTTTTCGATAATCGGAATTACAGAAGTTTGCATTGTATTCGAGTCGCAACAGGGTAGTACCGATGACCGATGTGTAGCATTAGCTTCAAAAGACCCTGGATTACAATTACTTGTATTAGCACTAGCACACTGCTTCGAGCCAAATTTTATCATGATCAGTTTTGCACTCATGCCCAGATTGGGGAAAAGTAACAAAAGAAAAGGAGCAGAGAAACAGAGCATATGCTCTGCCCCTGCCCTGATGTGTGACAAAACATTTTTGCTAGGCTTGCTTCCTGTGGTTACAACATTTAAGATAAGGTGTAGTAGTGCTAATGTTGTGTTGTTCAGTCTATGATTTGCCACTGGAGTCCAGCCACCAATTGGTCTTGCCAGGGTTTTATTTTCAAGAACGGGGCATCAAATCACTCCTGTTTTCCTTACACATACACTACTAGCTAAAAATACATGAATTTTAACTATTTGAGCATGTTTGTCTTCAAGTTATCTTGTGCAAGTACTTCTTTTGGCAACAGCACCAATATGCTCCTTATGGTACAGGTCATGGCTGATAACTGGTAGGGGAATTGCTAAGAAAATAAGATACACAGCTCCTAGCGCCAATCGCCAAATAAGTGAACTGATTGCAGAAGCACGGAGGGAATGCCCGAACTGCAGTTATGTTATTGATAACGGTGATGTAAGTACATTTGTTCTGTTTAGGTTGTTGGAGAACGGGCATTTGGCTCTCAGATCATATTCAGTTGTAGATGTTACATATCTGAGCAAGTTTTTCCTGCATTTCAAATTCTGTAGGTTGCCATGCAGTGGCCTGGGCTGCCTGCTGGAGTCAAGTTTGATCCTTCTGAATTGGAGTTGCTTGAACATTTAGAACAAAAGGTCGGCCTGGGAGGTTCAAGACCACATGTCCTCATTGATGAATTTATTCCAACTATAGATAATGATGAGGGAATCTGCTATTCACATCCTGAAAATCTTCCTGGTATATAATTATGTCTTGAGATGGTGTGGTTATTCTTTATGAATCTGTTGGTGTATTCACATTCTGAATTTGGTTTTTATTGACCTCGTAGGTATGAAAACAGATGGTAGCAATGCTCATTTCTTCCATAGAGCTTCAAACGCGTATGGTTGTGGCCAGCGCAAGCGTCGAAGGATCATCAACTGCAGCGACCACACTGTTCCTGATGAGCATGTGAGATGGCACAAGACAGGGAGATCCAAAGCCATATATGACAATGGTGTTATAAAAGGTTGGAAGAAGATACTGGTGCTGTACAAAACTTCGCAAAGAGGTGGAAAGCCTGATAGAGCTAATTGGGTAATGCACCAGTATCACCTTGGAGAAGAGGAAAACGAAAAGGACGGGGAGCTTGTAGTATCTAAAATCTTCTGCCAGTTGCCAAATAAGAGTATGGAAATTTCTGAAACAGAAACTGCTTATGAGGAACCTGATGCACCTGCTTCAGTGATTGGTCCGAAAACCCCAAAGACAATCACACCGCAGCCACGCCATCCTAAAAATAGTCCATGTGAAACTGAGCAGAATATTTCCATCCTGCAGGATCAGGTAACTCATTAACTTCTTTTGGGATCACAGTGATGTACGAAAAATTGCTAGATCAGAGCGTAAACAAGTTGTTGAAATTACACAAGTAGGCATATTAAGAGAAATTGAAACTGATAATATGCACTTAGCTTTGTCTAGAACCTCTATTACCTCCCACTAAAACCGGTGGGGACCTAGTACTGGCGATCTGACAGGCATATTATCCCTCCATGTTTCAAAATCAGCTCCAAAAAACATTAGCACTAGTTTATAGATAGACTTAGAGTTTGTATAATCTTTTTTGTTGAAGTACATAATCTCTATCAGAGTATCAGTATTCTGGAAATATATATTACTTTATTTTTGAAAGGGAAATATATATTTCTGGAATGAAGGGGCACGAGAGTGTGCCTATTTCATTGATAGAGATGAGAGCATCCTAGAAATATGTGCACTAATCTTTTTGGCATGTTAGATAAAATCTTACATGCTTGCATCGTAATTGCACAAGAGGGCCAGGCTATAATCTATATCAGAGCAAATTCCCTTCCCGCTGGTGCATTGCCATAATCATGTTTCATGACCATTTCCAGCGCTAAGTTTGTAGTTTCGATACAGATACTACTGGACGGCGAAGGCGAGCCTACCATGCCTATTGTTAGCCTGGAGGATGATGCTATGAACCCTGCATGGTGTGCTGTAGCTCAAGAACAGCAGGTTGTTGGAGAGGCATCTCGGGCTCAGTCGAACTCAGATGAACCTCTTCTTTGTCGTGAAGACCCAAATTCCTTAAACGACGAAACATTGCTTCCCTGGGACTATCCGATTCTGTCCCAATGCAGGAATGAGATGCTTGATTGGAACCTGAATGGATACGGGTTGCCTGATCTCCATAATGTGGATCTTGGAACGCCTCCAGATCTTCAGCTTGCTGTAAGCTTATCCTTCTGGTATTCTCGGTGCCAGTATGTTTGCTAATTGCTCTGACAAATCTGATAATGTTATTTCTATCGTATTGCGACAGGACATTCAGTTTGGTTCTCAGGAAAGCCTCGGCAGCTGGCTGGATCACATCTAGGAAGACAACTAGTGTGAACTGTTTGCTAGAACAGCCTGATCTATGGGCATCTTTTTGCACAGGATATGGTAACCGGTGGCAGCTATTTTGGGACTTACACAACACAAAGATTGCATGGTTGCATTAGTAGTATTTGTGTTGTGTTTGTGCTGTCAAACTTTATCTGGAAACCAAGAACCTTTCGCCCTTTTCTATTTTGTTTAGAAGAAATGAACAGCCTTTAACAGCTGGCTATCAGAACACTAGCCTTGAAATGTAGTAGTAAGTTACTGTGGCATGGTTGGTGCAAACCTGCATTGACCCGTTGTATATAAGCCAAGCGAACAGGGCGTTTGAGTTCAGAGTGTCCTTGTGTGTGGATGTGCATCAGTGTATGGAGCTCCAGTTGCGCCAAGTCTAAGCTCTAGAGTGCAAAGTTTTGGACATTACACACGCACCTGCCAAGTAAAAGCATTTTTGAGAAGGTAGAAACTGCATATTATGAACTTTATTTATTTGTCAGAAATTTCGTGAGTTTCGTTTGCAACCTTGGTCAGAATAGGCGATGGGAATATGATGAAGCAGAAATGGTTCTCCCTGGGTTTTCTTTTCCCATTCTAATAGACTTATTGCATTTCTGTCCTAATTGAACTTGAAATTGGATTCAAAAGAAAGTTAATGTGAAATTTAAAGACAATACATTTGTGTAACATGGATTGGAGCAATGACAATAACAAAGAGGGGGAATCGCCACACCAATTCATTGGGAAAAAAGATGAGCAAATTCCATCTATGCAATCTAAAGTATAATAGTCGTCCCTCTATGTTACTGAAAAATACAGTATATTTTCCCTTCTGAGTCATCAATTTTTAATTGTGCGTCCCTGATGTGCCATGGTCATCACAATATCACATGATTGTTAAAAGTACACCTACACCGTTACACCGTCCCTTGTATCATTGTATGGTTAGCACTAGGAAAGCCATTCCAACCACAAACAAGGTGTCCAATGGTTGGATGTGGCACACAAAAGAAAGAAAACATTCTTCAGTTGCACAAAGACGCATGTCAAATTAAAATGCATCGACAGTGCAAGAAAGTTCCAAGTCGCCTGCTAGGGTTTAAGCACATTCTAACTTCAATAACTAACTTGCTAGTAGGAGCTTGCACGTGTATACGAAGTACCAAATACTCCCCGACATTTTAGGAATAATATACGAAAGGCGTCGCTCCGGCAACAAGGAATTTATTCTGTGCAGACGCTTCCTCACCTAACCTATTTTCAGGCAAACGAATCCAACACAACTTGAAGAACGAAGCGACCACGCCAAAAGCTTTGCAGAGATGTGATCACGTGACCGGGGCTATTTATCATCAGACAGCTGGCCGTTTGCTTGACATTGGCGAAGAACACTTGCGCCTCCTGATTCATTCATTTACCACAGAGGCACTGCGTGCCGCCATGCCTTCGTCCATTGGAAATGGCAACGCTGGGCAAGCGGCGGAGCTCGGCAGCAAGGACCGGACATGGCAGATGCGCAAGTACCTCCTGCTACTCGCCATCCTGGTGGCGACGGTGACCTACGTGGCCGGTATGGACCCGCTGGGGGGCGTGTGGCTGGAGACCGAGGACGGCCGCGCCGGCGACCCGATCCTGCCCGACACCCGACCCATCCGGTACAGGGTGTTCTACCACGTGAACGCCACGGCTTTCGCCAGCCGTCCTGTGCGGCGTGGTCCTCGTCGTGGTCTTCATCATCGCTCCCTGGTTTCCTGGGGCATCGTACAGGAGTTGGCAGCCGCCCCTAGGTCGTCGATCGTCTTGTTGGTTTGAAGAACTGAGGGCCGCAATCCCGACCCTCGGGGTCGTGGCTCCTGTCGGTCTGGATGGCCTCTAAGTCAATGCCTTCATCGTGGATCCCATCCTGTGGTGGGTAGAATCGTACATGCATCCTGTCAGATCATATTTGGACGGTGGATCACCGTACTGGTTGTCACCGCCGTGCGGTGTTGTCTTGTCTGCACAGCGTGTCACAGGGATGGCGTCTGACCGGACCAAGGTGACTGTTGTCCCCTCGGTCCTTGCGAAGTTAGTGCGGCGTGCCTATTCTTGTCAGAGCAGGCACGCTTGGCTGCTCTTGACCTCTCCCCATTTCTCCCAGGGGTCAGGACGGTGGAGTGGTCGTGTGTCTCTCGTGCGCTGGGCGGCTAAGTCTGCTGAAGGGGTCGTGGCAAGCCCCCGCCTTAGCGCTTGGCCTGGTTCTCTTGGATTATCCTAGCCTCAATCGTTCAGGCCTTCGCTAGCTGATATATTGTGGGCCGCATGGTCCACTAACTAATCGGTGCCTTGAGACACCCGGGGTTATAACCCCGACAAGTGGAATGTCAAATTATAAGCCAAATAGCCTAATTTGTTAAGTAGATTTCAATTCCCCCAAATGAAAGGATTCAAACGCCCCTTAGCTAAATTGTGCTTATAAGAGAGAGCTTTAATTTCTAAATGAATTTATAAGTGAAAAGGGTATCTATCCTAGTTTATCAAGTACGCATACATCGCACCTAGAATTGACCATGATTATGTAGATCACAGCTAAAACCATTCCTCTGATTTGAAAGTTGAACATTGGCTATTTTGGCAACTAGGTTAAGACAAGCCGTCAATTTAACCTCAATTAAAGCTCTGCAAAAAGAGACATTAATAGGCACTTGATTCATGATCGTCTCCACAGTTACATGAGGACAATCAGCTATGTTGTGCATGCTGGAAAATTGCTCTTTTAGGGGTGAGGTGCCTACCCATGTGTCTTCCCAAAATCAGTTTCTGCGCCATCTCTTATTTTGAAAGACCCACACCTCATAAAATCCTCCATAACCCTTACCACCAAATTTCATCTATGCAAATATGCAATCACTTCTATGTTATTGAAAATATATAGTATAGGTTTCCTTCCGAGTCATCAATTTTTAATTGTGCAACTCTTGTTATGTGCCACTGTCATCAACTCATCATCAATTTTGGCCTCCATTTGTGCAAACTAGAAATCTCTCTATATTTTTAAAATTGTAGCAATAATGGTATATTGTTGGACGTGAAATCAAAAGTCATAGCAGAGAAGGGAACTTGCACATTTAAATGGCATACAAGAGATAAGGTACTCCCTCCGTCTTAGAATTACTGACGTCCTAGGACTCAAAGCTTGTCCCAAAAGTATTAACGTTATAGCCTCCTACTCTAACCCAATCAGACATCAATCATCCATGTCCTATCAGTTTCTGCTGTGTAGGAGCGCTGGAGCGGTGGCCAGGCACGGAAGCAGAGCAAGGAGAGCAATGAATGCGCACGTCATTCCAAATTTTCAGCAGATGTGATGGTTGCTTTGTAGGGATAATAGGGTCTTTTACTTCCTACCTTGGTTACTGGTTCCAATCCTAGAACGTGACAGAGGGAGTAGGTTATAATGGCATAACAGAATTTTTAAGAAAAAAAAAGAGTTGGCAAGAGAGATATGGTAGGTTTTAATGGTACAATAGAATCTTCAATCTTCAAGAAAAAAAAGAGTTGGCAAGAGGGGCTCTCTAGGAGCGAAGCCATGGGACGACTATCCCCTCCGCGACTCAACGGGAGTGGGCCCGCTAGCCAGTGGGTTGTGCAGCAGGGCATGGAGCGCTTGGCTAGGTACGAACCCTGAACCCTAACCTCCATGCAAACTCAAGCTCAATTATTAAATAAATATTGTTGGCTAATTTACGTTCATAGGCTGTAAGACAAGCGAATAGGGCGCAACTCTTTGCCCTGCAAGGCTGGAGTCACAAGCGTTCACCACGACGCCCGGCGAGGAAGCTGAATTGGTAGCGTTGTTTATTTAGGTCCCTTGCGGTTGAGATCACGGTTTGGTACTTACAGAGAATTAACCACGTACCTTTCCCTTTCCCTTTCCCTTTCCATGTCTCCAGTATATTTTTCCTGTATTGGACAGGTTCAACAGGAAGACCGTAAGTCCGTACCGGCAACGGACGCCATGAAGCTTGTGGTATTGCTGTAGAAGGCCTTGTACCGCCTCGGGTAGTTGTCGGCCCGGACCGGGTCGCCGCCCACTTGCCGGCGCGTGCTCCAGCCAGAACTTGCCGGGCGGAGTCAGCCCGAGAGAAAAAGACAAAACGAGGCCCTTAAAGCCCGAAAGAAAGGGATTGTTGAATAGCCCATGCAATTTGATGGGCCGCAGAATTGCCGCGCCACACGGCCTTTTCGGCTAGTCACGGATTCCGTTTCCCCACTTCGCCCGTCGACCCCTGCGCTGCCTTGCCTCTGTTCTCCGTGACGCCAGAATTCCGGCCCGCGCGCAAGATCATGGCCCATGGGAGTGGGAGCCTGAAACCCTTGCTCGGCTGCTCGCGATTGCAGGTAGCTCTGCGGACTCCGGAGACAAATATTTGACGCGGTGACAGCTGAGACGAAATCAGGAAATGCAGAAAGCCTGCCCTATGGACTATGTGGTCTGTCACATGGTTATTAATGCAATAATCCCCTAGACGATAGACTAGCACGATCGATCGATCATCTCATGTGTCCATAACTAGCTGAATCGATCTGTCCTGAGACTGAGGCATGCAGCAACTTTTCGTCTGGCAGACTGGCGCAGCGAGATTCACCCGCGGATCTATCATCTAATGAGCGTGTGTTCAGTTCACATCGAATCTTGCGATGCGTGCATGAAGCAATAAATATAAACGAAAAAAAACTAATTGCACAGTTTAGTTGGAAATCACGAGACGAACGTTTTGAGCCTAATTAGTCCATAATTAAACACTATTTACCAAATAAAAACAAAAAGTGCTACCGTACCCAAATTTCAAACTTCCCCTCTAAGTAAACACAGCCTCATGTCGCCGCAACCGCACCGCACGCGCGCGCGGGGCGTGAACGCTGGCAGGACGCTGCGGAGCGTTCGGGGGCAGGCACGACGGCGACTGCTCATGGAGGGACAGACCCCGGACAGGCCTCAGTCTGCTGCCCGCGTAGTGTAGCTGTAGCTGTACTCCTTCTGCGTCATGCATGCGCCCGAAACTGCTCACGTGTACGGCCCGGCCTGCAAGCCGCTATGTCGCTGTTAGAGATAAGCTATGCTGGGCCGTCGCTTTGGTCTGGGCCTTGAGCCCAGTTCGGACTCTGCTGGATGGGAGCCTAGCAGGAGCTTCGAAGGCATCGAACAAATTATCCAATACCAGCAGATTACCTTTGCTTTTGCTATTACTGTTCATCTTCTTCCTCAAGTTCCTTCCTCTTGTACCCAGATTTCCTCTTCTAGATCCATCTAGTAACTTCTTCCTAGCACCTTAATTCCCCTCCTTGCTGCCTTCCCCTGATTCTATCTCTTATTATATCGGATATTATTACATGTGCGCTGATTGATTTGGAGTTGGAATGATCTAAGTTCATCCTCTAGATCGTGTGCTGCTAACCAGTGGTATCAGAGAGAGTCGATTCTCGGTCTAGCACCATGAATCCCCTACCGAGATCTCTCCTTCTATCCGGTTCCTTCTCGACGAGATCCACAGGAGGTTCGACGAGTCCGATGCTCGCTTCGACCGGCTCTTCGCCAGGCTGCAGCAGCCCGCACGCGGACGCGCTCCCTCCTCCTGCAACGACGACTCGGGCGCCGTCCCCGTCGATGCGTTCGTCACCTCCACCGAACCCGACGTGCCGCTCAGCGCTGACCAGAAGCTCGTCCGGTACGGCCCCGTCAACACCCCCGCCTCCGAGTCGCTCCGCCCCGCGTCCGAGAAGGGCGTCTCCATCGCGCTCGACGACGCTCCGCCGATGAGGGAGCCGCAGGATGCCGTCGAGGAGCTCCGCATCGGCGCCCTCAAGCTGAGCGACGTCCTGGAGGACCGAGTCTGCGAGCTGGCTTCCTCCGACACGACCGCGCCTCCGCCGCCGACGGCGCGGAACTCAGTGCCCGCTCCGCCCTCCTCCCTACTCTCCGCGGAACATCCGAAGCCATCCTCCCTCGCGCCGCTGTTGCAGCCGGCTGTCGAGGCGGCGCGTCCTTCGCATCCTCCTGCCATCGTCGACAGGCCGTACCGCATCGAGGCAAGACCTCCGCCTCCCGTCCACGACGACACTGCGGGGGAGGAGCTCTCGGGCACGAGCATCGACCTCGGCCTTCAGCAGGTCGCCGAGGAGCTCGCGTCGCTGGAGTGCCATGAGCTGGCGTCGTGCAACATGCTCGGCCTGCTCGAGGACTCGCAGTTCTCCGACTTCTCCGAGACCGCACGGGAGCAATGGGAAGCCACCGTGGTCCTCCGCGTCGGTGCCCACGAGCAGCGCGACGCCCCCAAGCTCGACTCCGAGGCCGATCCGCCCGTGCAGAACCGCGTTTCCGTCGAGGACGAGATCCCCAACCACCTCGACCGCGCCAACTCCAGCGCAGTCTCCCTGCACGTCCTCGACCGCCTCAGCCTCCTTCCCGACATGCTCCTCGGCAACATCGTCTCCCGCCTTCCCATCAAGGATGCCGCGCGCACGTCGGTACTCTCCCGCCGCTGGAGGCCTCTCTGGCGCGTCGCTCCGTTCGTGTCGCTGGTGCGCTCCGACCAGTTCGAGCGGAACGCCGTGCAGGACCTCTGCCGCCTCTACGAGCTTGGTGCCTCCCAGCTGATGGTGCACCCTGGGATGCCTCCAACGCTGCCCTCAAGGTGTTCGACACTCGGTGGCAACCGTATCGAGTGCGCTCCCGAGGAGAAGCCGTTCGTGCACGTGTGCGTCACAGACACCGGACGTGCACGAGCTCGACCTAGACGTGCTCGTCTCCGCCGCGGGTATGGAGCCCTTCGTACTCAAGTTGGACCGAGACGTGCTCGTCTCCGTCACCACCGCCGCACGTCTGGAGCACTGTGCGTTCGAGCTCCGTGGTTGCGCTGCGCCCGTAGTCTTTCCCATGGTCGCGCACTGCAAGCTACCGACCAGCACGTCCGCAACATCACAGAGGCGTCTACAGCAGCAGCTTCGACGAGAGCGAAGGATCCTATCACCACCAGCGCCCAATTCATCTCCATCATCAACGCCACCATGGGCGCTCATTGGGTGTCGGACGAAATGCTAACTAGGTACATCACCAACTTCACCCATGCATACTTGATTGGTGTTGTGATGCCATGCTCTGCATCTGAGACACATGGTGTTCAGTGGGTGTTTGAGGGCCGGTTCTCTCAGAATCCAGTGCAGTTTGTGATACTCGGTGATGAGGATATTGGTAATCTTGAGGACCATCAGCTGATAGCTGAAATTAGCAAGAGGGATGTTGCTCCGATTCATTTGTTCATGCGAGATGGAGCAGGCTGGGTTGCTGTGCAGTACAGGCCTCCGTGGCCACCACCTCATCAGCTTGAGATGTTGAGAGATGGTGTTCAACTCAGACCTACACCTTGGCCATCCTTTACCTGTCTGACAACTTGGCGCAGTACATGTTCAGTCCACGAGTGTCTGATGCAGCTACTCTATGGCGTGATTAATCGGGGGCTTACACAGTTTGATTACACCTCTCTATCTCATGGGTTTGTCATCAGTTTTGTGGGACTAATTGCAGAGATGAGATTTTTCAGCTCTATGGTGCTCCTTCTGTCAATACTACCAGTTCAGAAGCATCACCAGTTGCTCAGTCCTGATGCACTTATTATTATACACCTGGTTCATTTCAATGCGGTTCTGAAATTGGCAGGCTGTAGCAAGGTGACTATGCATACTTTTGAGTTTTATTCAGTATTGATGCAACTGATCAAGTATGATTCTGTCCACCGTCTTCCTTCTCCTATGTGGGGAGATCACCACAAGCTTGACGTCATAGTTGCAGTGTACAACTTCAACAATAGTGGTGTGTTATTGCATCAATTTACCACAACTGTCCAAGCACAAACAGCTAGCGCCATGTGGCTGCTGCTTGCAATTAATTCTCTTGCTCATGAGGAGTTTCAGTTCAGTTTTGAAACAGAAAAGATGATGGGAACTAATGTTATGGTGTTACTGCACATTTTCACTATGGAGGCATCAGTGCCATGGGATCCTGATGGTTTGCAGCTCTTGATATCAGCGATTCAACAGCGAGTACACCGGAAGTGTGGTGGCAATTGTCGGTCTTTCTTGCTTGACGTCACAGCACATAAATTTCGAGTAGCAAGGTCATGTACCAAGTGCAAGTTCATTTGGGACCCCGGTGGATCCATTTCATCGGCTTGGGGGCAAGCCGAACCTCAAGGAGAGGAGAATGTTAGAGATAAGCTATGCTGGGCCGTCGCTTTGGCCTGGGCCTTGAGCCCAGTTCGAACTCTGCTGGATGGGAGCCTACAAAAGTAAGAGAGCAGGAGCTTCGAAGGCATCGAACAAATTATCCAATACCAGCAGATTACCTTTCCTTTTGCTATTACTGTTCATCTTCTTCCTCAAGTTCTTTCCTCTTGTATCCAGATTTTCTCTTCTAGATCCTTCTAGTAACTTCTTCCTAGCACCTTAATTCCCCTCCTTGCTGCCTTCCCCTGATTCTATCTCTTATTGTATCGGATATTATTACCTGTGCTGATTGATTTGGAGTTGGAGTGATCTGAGTTCATCCTCTAGATCGTGTGCTGCTAACAGTCGCGGATGATTGGGAGCCCTCCTTCCTAAAATAAAAAGGGGATTTTCCGGGTGTTGTTTTGTCTCTTAATCAATAAGTTTGCTATGGCTACGATTTTGTTGAGATTAGAGTTATCTTCGGTGGCTTTCTTTCTTGATGGGCCGTTTCAGTTTCTTGTTGGGCTGCGCATCAGTGACCGGCCACGCAGCCACGACCCGCCGTGTCCGCGCCAAGCTCGAGGCACGTCGGGAACCACAGCTTCACCGGACGCCGCGATGAGCAGCAGCCGCCTTTCTGCCTCGTCCCGAGCTTCCTCGTCGTCGGTGCTGCTCGTGACCATACTGGACATGTTTTCCTAAAAAAAGATAGAATCGTATACTCGTACTACTTTTTTGGAATAGTGCTCGTATGCAGACATGCAGTGTGAAAATGTTCCATGAACATGTTAGCGCGTGTTCAGTTACAAAAATACTTCAAAAAAAAGTGTTACAGTACCCGTCATATCAAATCTTGCGGTACGTGCATGGAGCAGTAAATGTAGACGAAAAAAAAACTAATTACACAGTTTGGTTGGAAATCGCGAGACGAACGTTTTAAACCTAATTAGTCCATGATTGAACACTATTTACTAAATAAAAATAAAAGTACTACAGTACTCAAATTCCAACTTTTTCTTCAACTAAACACAGCCTTATATATATATATATATATATATATATATGGAGTATATAGGGAACAAAAATTGTTTGATCCCGATGAATAAGTATAGAATTGTTGGATCCCGATGAATAAGTACAGTACTGCTTGAGCACGTCGTTGGCATTTGTAAAGGAAAAATGAGAATTTAGTAATCTGTTTCAGTACATGGTTCTTTTTGTCAGTTGTTCATTTGTAGAAGTTGTTATTTTATTTTATTTTATAATAATTTGGTGTGATTCCACACCTTTGAGTGAGGATGAAGCTGGATGTTTATTCCCATTGTCTTAAAAAAGAAGTTGTTCTTTTATTCAGTTTCAGCTATTATGTTTTTCGAGTGTCAGTGATTCAATATTTATGTTATTTAGAAACCTCGCTTCATTGGAGTTAAATAACTTGTTACCTAGTATATTTGCCATTTGTTTTTTTTTTGAAGTGTAGTCTTTTGTGTCATCTTTTAAATTTGTCATGTAGATTTTAGTCAGATGTTTCCATTAACTTGTAGTTTATTTTATGTCTAGGGCAAGTTTTTGGTAATCTGATTCTATTAGTTGCTACAGTAGTCATCACATCGAATCTTGCGATACGTGCATGGAGCATTAAATGTAGACGAAAAAAAAACTAATTGCACAGTTTGGTTGGAAATCGCGAGACGAACATTTTGAGCCTAATTAGTCCATAATTGAATACTAATTACTAAATAAAAACAAAAGTACTACAGTAGCCAAATTCCCGAACTACACCCAGCTAAACACAGCCTGAATCGATCTGTCCTGAGACTGAGGCATGCAGCAACTTTTCGTCTGGCAGACTGGCGCAGCGAGGTTCACCCGCGGATCTATCATCTATTCATGTCGCCGCAACCGCACCGCACGCGCTCGCGGGGCGTGAGCGCTGTCAGGACACTGCGGCGCGTTCGGGGGCAGGCACGACGGTGACTGCTCAGGGAGCTAGCAGGGACACAGAGACATGGCGCGAGCTCCGGACAGGCTCAGTCTGCTGCCCGCGCGCTGTAGCTGTAGCTGTACTCCTGCGTCCATGCATGCATGCGCCCGAAACTGCTCACGTGTACGGCCCGGCCTGCAAGCCGCTATGTCGCGGATGATTGGGAGCCCTCCGTCCTAAAATAAAAAGGGGATTTCCGGGTGTTGTTTCGTCTCTTAATCAATAAGTTTGCGGGTGTTGTTTCGTCTCTTAATCAATAAGTTTGCTATGGCTACTATTTTGTTGAGATTCGAGTTATCTTCGGTGGCTTTCTTTCTTGTTGGGCCGTTTCAGTTTCTTGTTGGGCTGTGTATCAGTGACCGGCGGGACGTCGGGAACCACAGCTTCCCCGGACGCCGCGATGAGCAGCAGCTTCCTTTCTGCCTCGTCCCGAGCTTCCTCGTCGTCGTCGGTGCTGCTCGTGACCATACTGGACATGTTTCCCTACAAAAAAGATAGAATCATATACTCGTACTACTTTTTTTGGAATAGTGCTCGTATGCAGACATGCAGTGTGAAAATGTTCCATGAACATGTTATATATTATATATATATGGAGTATATAGGGAACAAAAATTGTTTGATCCCGATGAATAAGTATAGAATTGTTGGATCCCGATGAATAAGTACAGTACTGCTTGAGCACGTCGTTGGCATTTGTAAAGGAAATGAGAACTCAGTAATCTGTTTCAGTACATGGTTCTTTTGTCAGTTGTTCATTTGTAGAAGTTGTTATTTTATTTTATTTATAATAATTTGGTCTGATTCCGCGCCTTTGAGTGAGGATGAAGCTGGATGTTTATTCCCATTGTCTTAAAAAAAGAAGTTGTTCTTTTATTTAGTTTCAGCTATTATGTTTTTCGAGTGTCAGTGGTTCAATATTTATGTTATTTAGAAACCTTGCTTCATTGGAGTTAAATAACTTGTTTAACTGGTATCTTTGCCATTTGTTTTTTTTTCAAGTGTAGTCTTTTGTGTCATCTTTTAAATCTGTCCTGTAGATTTTAGTCAGATGTTTCCATTAACTTGTAGTTTATTTTATGTCTAGGGCAAGTTTTTGGTCATCTGATTCTATTAGTTGCTAGTTCTTTTGTCAGTGGTTGAGTTTTAGAATTTGTTGTTTTGTTTAGTCAAGTTATTTTATTTGTTCAGTTCTATTTTTAGATAAAATATTCTATTTAGTTTCAGTTCAATGAGTTCTGAGATTCAGTGGTTCATTATATTTTTTCATTTTTCATTTTCATTTTTGAGGGGGGAGGTTTAACTCTGAGGGAGGATCCAATGCCCAACTTATGTACTTACCGAGGCAAGAGCTGCAATCCCTCTGCTCCTTCTGTTCTCTCCTCTTCTCTCATCCTACTAGAGGAAGACGAAGATGTCGTCGCCTCCATGCTGCTCCACCACACCAAACCCTGTTATCTTCCCACTACTAGTAGCACCGACCCTGTTACATAGTTGGAATGTGCTATTAGTTTTAGTCCAATGAGTTATGAGATTCAATGGTTTATTTTTTTATTTCCTAGATGTTGTATTCTTATGTGTTTTATTTTCTTCATCTGAGGCGTTTTTAATGATTTTTAGAACCTGCAACACCTTTGTAGAAATGATTAAGGCAAGATACCCCAATGAATCTAATTCATCCTCTTGGTAGAAAAGAAGTTGAGAAAGGAGGCATTGATCTTGGCAGAAAGGTTTTTTCTCTCTCTTTGTTTTTATTGGTCAGTTCAACCTAATTCAACATTCTTTTTTTTTCAATTTTGTGGATTTATCCTAGTTGTTAGGAATTTGAGAAAATTGATTTCACTTCGAATGGTTTGATATTTTATTTGGCCTCATATTGTGTTTATTTTTTAAAAAAATTGTAGGTTATTCAAAATAACCCCATAGATGCGCCTGTGAAGCATGCTAACAAAATTCTTGGTGGTTTGAATTCTGCTAAATCATTTGTAAGGGTAAGTATAATTTTTAATTTGTTTCGGTTTCAACTAATCTTAATCCTTAAAAGTTTTCTCTTAGTTTTCTTCTTTCTCATTATTTTTTTTCTTAGCACTCAAGTTGAATCTTTATGTCACGTGAGGACGTGAGGTGCCTCTTTCCTTTCTCTCACGGGAATGGATCGGATCTTGTGGAGGTCAGTAGTAGGGTGTGATCCACTCGTTGTTTGAGATCTGGTTGTTGGCAGTTTTAGTTTTTCAATCACTTTTTTTATTGTGCTTGGCGGATTAATTTCTGGTTGTTTTATTGTCCCATATCTTCTAGATTTTAAATCAGATTGACTTACGACGTGTCAGTCTTTGATTGATTGAAAATCTGGTTGATTTAACGAAACAAAATCAACTGAAAGTTGTGTAGTCACTTCCAAATAAAAAGTACATC